CCAACCCAAACCGTTCCATGATTTTTTTCATGTAACCAGTCTGAAACAATCTTCAATAACATTCATCTGTAGTTGAAAACAGAAAATACGAACGAGAATCAGTAACCCATCAGTTTGTAAACCAGCTGTTGAAAGGTGCCTGTTACGTTGCCGTGTCCTGTTGGACAGCGTTGAGTGAGCTGGAGCAGGATTCGTACTCGGGGAGGAGGTTTTACAGGCTCGTCACAAGGCACAGTCAACCTACTATGCAAGAATCAAGAGGTAGAAATGCATTTAATAGAAATTGCAAGTTATGAATCATCTTAGCGGTCCCAGAATTGCCTCTCAATAGAGTGGGAATATGTTAAGGTTGCAGTTATTCCAAATATTCCTTTGACAGATAACGACTATCTGTCCAGTTCATTACCTTGATAAGAGTAAAACACAAACTTAACCGTGAGGGGAGAGGATGTGTGGTAATCCTTTTCTCCAATGCAAAGGAAAATCAACTTTAAAACACAAGAAACCTTTGTAGTAGGATAACATCTATTTATATGATCCAGTAGGAGTATCCTATAGGTCTGATGCTTTATCCAATTAGCAAGGATGCTGCTGCTGCTCAATGAAGAACTAAGGAACACCTGTTTCTTTAGAGATTCATATTTATCTTCACATTCAAGGAATTCGTGCCATTTCATTACCTAATCGATTCTACGCACTGAGAGTTTTGTGACAGTGTGCCCAGGTGGCCAAAAAGGCCAAGAGCACCCTCACCTACATCAGGAACAGTGATCAACTACAGCAGGACCAGGGCGGGGATCATCCCCCTGTGCTGGGCACTGGTGAGGCCGCACCTTGAACCCTGGGGTCAGTTTGGGCCCCTCGCTGCAAGAAAGACACTGAGGGGCTGGAGAGTGTCCAGAGAAGGGAACGGAGCTGGGGAAGGGTGTGGAGCACAAGTCCTGTGAGGAGCAGCTGAGGGAGCGCGGGGGTTCAGCCTGGAGAGGAGAAGGCTCAGGGGAGACCTTATAGCTCTCTACAACTACCTGACAGGGGAAAGAGGACTCGCCATCCCTAGACATGTTTAACAGTCACGTAGCCATGGAGCTTAGAGACATGGTTTAGTGGTGGACTTGGCAGTGCCAGGCTAATGGTTGGACTCAGTGATATTAGGGTCTTCTCCAACCTAAATTATTCCATGATTCTGTGACTTAGAAGTCTAAATTTGAGTAGTTTAAAATAGCCAAATGACACTGTTAAATAGCTGTTACTCTTTGCTTTAGGTATAGAGGTGTACGTAGGGCTTCTAGCTTCTTTTATGGCAAGCCACTTCCATTATCCTCGCTTCATTTCAGTCTTTGATTTATTAAGGCAGCGAATTATATTAGTTTCTGACACATAAGTGGTGCTCTGAATGCAATCCTGTGCTTATTTTCTCTCTCGTTTTTGTAATTTCTTAGACTATCATAGAACTCTCAGAAGAACGGGACTGTCTCCGTTTTCTGCCGCACGCCTCGGCAGCACAATCCCCTTGCGGATCTCCCGGCATGAAACGCACCGAGAGCCGACAGCACCTGTCGGTGGAGCTGGCGGATGCCAAAGCAAAGATAAGGCGGCTTAGGCAAGAGCTGTGAGTACGCGTAGATTGCAGAAGCGTTTGAAAATGTGGATTTTGCACAATGGTAGTACTCTAGGTGAATTCTCCATTCTTTCAAATGTTAAACTACAGTTTGAGATGCCTTTTTTTTTTTTAGTTACTGCACCATATGAAGCTTTTTTTTAGCACCTAAGCGTATTTATGGTCCAGTGTGACAGATACAACTTTTCATTTGTGTTTGTCTTAACTTGTATTATGAATTATATTGATGTTTGAACCATAAACATGCTGAAATCCGTGAACTAGTGCTGTGGTAGTTTGGTATCTTTTGTGCCCTGAACTGCGTGAAAAACTAACCGAGCAACCTCTTGAGCATGTTACAGCACGGCAATGGGCTCTTTGCTCGACAGGAGTTGACTCTTACAAATACAGCTGATGTAATGCAGCATTGCCTTTTTCTTTCCCCTGTTGTGGCCGTGTTGTTTCAGAGGCAGGTTCTTTGTGCTTCCTCTCTTGTTCGTTATCATTAATGTCTGACTATTGTTTTAATATACCTGCATTCATGTATGTGTCTAAGAGAATAGCTTTGCAGTTGAGGCACTTATGGGGTGATGCACTCAAGAACATGGGGCAGGCAGGTGGGGACTGGAAGCTGGGTCCTGACAAAAATGAAGACAGAAACTTAGGCAAAGCAAACTCCACTAAATCTCTTGACCCACTGCAAACCTGGAGTTTACTGGCAGCGGTGGTTTATTTATGTCTGAGGAATAGTGTAATTTCTACAAGGAGGCTGGGGGTGACTTTTTGCAAGGGCCTGTAGTGATAGGACAAGGGGTAACGGGTACAAATTGAAATCAGGGAGGTTTAGATTAGATATCAGGAAGAAATTCTTCACAGAGGGGGTGGGGAGGCACTGGGACAGGTTTCCCAGAGAAGCTGTGGATGCCCCATCCCTGGAAGTGTCCAAGACCAGGCTGGATGAGGCTTGGAGCAACCTGGTCTAGTGGAAGGTGTCCCTGCCCATGGCAGGGTGGTTGGAACTGGATGATCTTTAAGGTTCCTTCCAACCCAAACCATTCTATGATTCTAAAATGAGTTAATTTTACAGCTTGGGTCAGTTACGGTTTCTTTTTCTTCATAGTCTAGGAACAAACCTGAGCAGTAGTGATCTCGTGCTTAAGAAAATTCACTATCCCACCTAGAACCAGCACAAGTGAGTAGTTATTTAAAGAGAAACACAGGATTAAGCCAATAGGGAATCTGTTTCTCCCTATAGCAGTGTGTAATGTTGTTTTAGCAGAGCAATATATGTTCAGTTTAGACTTAAAATACAACTGTTAAAATTTAATCCATCAAGAAACGGCCTCAAGTTGAGCTGGGGCAAGGTTAGACTGGATATTAGGAAAAATTTCTTTACGGATAGGGCTGTCAGTCATTGGAACAGGCTTCCCAGGGAAGGGGTTGAGTCCCCATCCCGGGAGGTGTTTGAGACATGTGGATGTGGTGCTCAGGGATATGGCTTAGTGGTGGGCTGGGCAGTGCTGGGTTAATGGTTGGACTCGATGACGTTAAAGGTCTCTTCCAACCTAAACGATTCTGTTCTTTGTCTCGTGGAGAGAGGAGACAGGTAAAATGAAATTAAACGTCACGCTTATCAGCTCACCAGTCTGCTCTGATCAGAGTTGGCTGATCAGATCATCGCTAGCTGGCTGGATTAAGTGCCTGGTTGATTTACTCAGAGGATCCCCTTCCCCCACTACATCTTTGCTTTCGTGAAGAATAGAGGACAAAAAGATACGGCTCTCTTTCTGGTGTCTGTATTATTATGTGTCTCCTGAAATGAGCCCGCCCAGGATATTCTATAAACAGCTGCACCAAGAAAATTAGTGAAAAAATTGCCGTTATTAGTTTGACTGACAGTTAATAGATAGCCTAAACAGTGAACGCTGGTATGTTCTGTATAATTTAGTACAATCCTCTCTAGGCTGTAGCTGAAGCATGCAATTAGGGCAACAGTGATGGCTGGGAACATTTCACACTTTGCACTCTATTTGAATTCAATTCATAAATAAATTTCCTTCATGCGTAGCAGTGGATTTAAAATACTAGACTTTGATAAATTAACTTCTGTCTGTAGCATTTGGTATTAAATGCTGCATGTATTTGATAAAGTTAAAATTAGATTCAGTCCAGAGTTGAAAATATTCAGCTTAAAATTTATTTATAATCTGGTTTTGTCAATGAACCTTCATACCTGGTTTAATATGCCCTGCAGCTAATATAATTTCATATGAAAGGTCTGTAAAGATGATCTTTCAGTTGGATGCAAAGCAGCGACTTGAGGCTTGTGATATAGGAACTCCAGAGCTGGAAATTGCACACCTAATTTTCGATATTAGGTCCTGTGTGTTTCTATGTGAACAATAATACAGGAAAATGAATGATAATAAATTATATGGTATTGTACATTTCAGTCCATTAAATTATCTTATTTCCCCCTCTACTACTTCTCTTTGGTTTCATACTTGTGTTCCAGAACATGAAATCTACAGCAGCATGTTTGAATATGCAGTGTATCTTTAAGGGTGTACAGTTTTGGATACTGCAGGTTTTCTCCAAGCGTATTTGGAACATTAGGCATTCTGTGTCTTTGAGTGAAATCAGTGTTTCCATTGCACTTACTCATTGTTTAATGAACTCATTTTGTTAAGTCATTTTTTGAGCACTGAGTAAATAAGTGTTAGCTGGAAGTTAAGGATGAGTCCTGTAAAAATTGTGGTATTTTATGTCAAATAGTTTTTACTACAGATTTCTGAATAGACTAAAGCAGACACTGTGTTCTGTACATGAAATTAAAATTCATTATGCATTTCATAAAATTATGAAGGTTATTGAGCAATATCTTTTTTTAATGAATAAAGGCACCTGAAAAGCTTTATTTATCTCTATAAGAAAAAGAAAAATCACAAAAGTGCTTTTAAAATTGTTTTTTCCCTGACCTGTGACAGGATGCATCGGTGGTCATCATCTTGTTCTGGAAAATATTTGGACCTTTTGAATGTATATTTTGAAATTGTTCTAAGTTAACTTTTGGATGTGAATCTCCAGGTACATTCATGTATATTACTTCAGGTCTTTACCAAAAAAGTCCCTTATCACAAAAAATCCCTTATTATACCCTAATGTTTTCTGCTCTGCATAAGTAGGGAATCTTAGTGAACAACAATTCAAAGGACTAAGGAAAACCTGAGCAAATTAAAAGGATTAGATGTAAACTAAACCGTAAGGAAATCTAACGCATTATGGCATACCTAAGTCCTACACTCTAATGTCCATGAAATTCAGGTTTAAATAAGGGAACTCTCAGGAATTTCAGTGTTTTGTTCTCAAGTGAGATGAGAATTATCACGTTCTGCAGTTGTATTTGACTGTTTTGTGTTTTCTCTTTTCAGTGAGGAAAAGACTGAGCAGTTGCTTGACTGCAAACAAGAACTTGAACAGATGGAAGCTGAACTAAAGAGACTTCAGCAAGAGGTATGGGGTTTTTAGACCTGTTGTTTAAAAATATTGAGCAAAACCAAGTTGCCACCACCAGAACAGACACCCCCTGCCTTTTTTTGTATTGGGAAACATGTTTTCATGCCTCTTTCTACAAACCCCCCCCCAACTCTGAACATGAGCTTGTGTAATTCATTTGGTCTGGTACGCTGGAAAAATAGTCTGTTAGGTAAATATTTCTACTCTAAATATTTTGTTTCCACATTCAAGCAATTTACCACCAACATATATCCTATGAGTGTTCGTGCACTGCATATTACTCAAATTCTGTCTGGTTTTCTTTATACTTCTAGTCTATGTGTGGCTAATGAGGGAAAACATCCGATTCATTTATTCTTAGGATATGAGAGTATAAAATTATCGGGGATGATCTTGGAAAGAAAATGCACTGTGGTGAAATTTGGGAATGTACAGGTACCTCTCCATGAAGAAGGCCAATGCAATTGTAGTGGAAATACATCATTTGCACTGAGCCTCTCAAATATTTTTTTCTTCTTTCTCAGAATTACCTTATCCCTCTGCATTACCCCGATTTAATTAATGAAGTGGCTGTGTTATCCTTCAGCATGTACTGTCCCATATTCTTGCCCTGAATTTCTGTATTTCTGTATTTTCTAGAATATGAATTTACTCTCGGATGCCCGTTCTGCCAGAGTGTATAGAGATGAATTAGATGCTCTTCGTGAGAAGGCAATTCGAGTCGACAAGCTTGAAAGTGAAGTCAGCCGGTATAAAGAGAGGCTGCATGATATTGAATTCTACAAAGCTAGAGTGGAGGTATATTAAGGAAAAAAACCCACTGTATAACCATATTTTTTTGTTTGCTGTGGCTTTTTCAAAGTTATTTTCATGAGTTAAGCATTAGGATGTGAAAACAGTGTTTTCCCTTGCTCTGGGATATATGGTATTCAGTCTTTTGTCACAAATTCCAGTTTTTATGAAGAGCCCCTATGTCTAATGGCATGCATTTTCCTTTGAAGTCAGCAGTATTCACCATAGCTCGAAGCTAGCAAGATCAGTAGGAGCCTCTGTTTAGGATATATAGGATGATGGCATTCCATGGATAAAACATACTCAAAAAAAAGAGGCACTGACACCAGGCAAGAGAGACTTACAGTTCTGTCATGAGTTAGGAGTTTACAAATTATCAACATGCAGGATTTTTAGGCCACCATTCTGTCTGTAAATGGCAAATTTGTGGGAGAGGTGCCAAGGCGGCAGAATTTGTGAATGAAAGTTTCTTGTGGGAGCCAAAACTAATAAAAGTTTAAAGAAATTTTCAAGGTGGTCATAAAAAAGACTCCTAGAAAAGCAAGGAGAACTCAAAATGAATGCTTGTTGGGAAAAAAGTCGTGTAGCCTAGATGTAGTTGTTGAGATACTGGTATGAGGCCCTTTCTTTAGAGTTAAAATGACCAAAAAGCAAACCCAAGATATTAGGCTAAACTAGGATACAGAATATTTTTACGTACCTGCTTAATTTAATGTGGCCTCTTGGGTTCACAGGCGTGGGTGGGATCTCGGGGACTCATTCAGCCCTTCTGCTTTAAGCAAGGTATTTTTACACACCCATACCGCTCCAGACGAGTGCTTGGCATTAATCCGTGCTTTAAGAGTGATGGAATGTCCGCAGCCTTTGCAGCCTTTTTCTATGATAGAACACCCTCTGGAAAAAGACTTCTTTCCGTAAAAGTTAAAACCTTTTAATGAATGTAGGCTTCATATGTCACAGCATAAAACAGCTGCTAACGCCAGAACTACTGTTGGCGAGAGGGGAAGAACGGCAAGGCAAACCCCAAATCTTTTTAACATTCAGTTGTAGGTCCTTCATCCCAAACCTGGAATAGCTTTAGTCAGAAATGAAGCGTATCAACCGACACAGGACTTAGTAGGTTTTTAATGGAGAATGAGATGGATAGTTGTTTCCGAGAGGACTGCACTCTGGAACAAGTAACACAAGACTGTGAGAGAGAAGGTGTGTGGTGTGGATTGAAACATTGCTAGAAGGGCTTTAGGCAGGTCTGAAATTTGGAAAATAATCGTGGCTCCTAAGACCTGCCTTTTTTAAGATGGTTGTTCTTAGTGTAGCTTGTGGAAATCAGTTGTGTCGATTTACCACATAACGTGAGATACTCTGAAATTTGAAGGAACTTTCTCAAGGTACACTGAATACAGACCTTGACAGCTGTCATTGAAACATCTGTTCTTGCGAAGGCTCCAAAGATGCCTTCATGCACCATGTAAAGGCTGGAAACTGCTTTCCACCTCCAGCTCTTTATCAGTTTGACATGCTTTAAACATCTTTAAAAAGATACTGCTGTTCAGCTCAGCAACAGGGGCCCAGTGCTCTGGTTTATGTTCTCAGACACCCTCACGGCTGTTGGCCGGTACCCCTATACGATGTCATAGGCTGGCCTACGTGGGTCTGTTGGAAAATGGGGTGCTGTGAGCAGTAGCGTTGTCATCAGCCTCCCTGCCTATGAGCAAACTTTGTATGTGAGCTATTTGAAAATCATCTGGCATGAATAGCTTTGTAAACTGTTTGTAACTACCACTGTTATAAGAGGCACTGAAAGCGTGTGGATAAAAAAAATCAGTAAAGGAAAAGAGATTTCTGTACAGGATTTGAAAACAGTGGAAATTTCATTTTCATAGAATGTTTAAACTAATAAAAACACCCTAAAATTTGTTAGTGTTTCATAGCTTGCAAACTATCTGATTTTTTTTCAAGCATGCTTGAATAGAGACAGATGTTAATTAGTTGGTTTTGCTTCATAATAATAATAAGTTCACTTTTTTTTTTGAGTATGGAAGATAAGTATTTATGTTGCATTCACTGATCTTTCTTCCCACTTGGCAGCTGACTCGGTGCTGAAGTTTGAAAAGTTTTGTCTTTACGTCCTGAGTAAAATTGCTAATCTTATGTTTTTACAAATTACTGTTTTCATCAGATGCCATTTAAAAATAACCCCTCCATGTACATAGATTAAAGCTGTTAAGGACCTTTGCATATTGTGTTTTAAGAATGCGCTTGGATTTTCAGCATCGTGTCCTGACGTCGGGCTTAGGTCAGTTTGTCCAGTTGCCTGTAAACCTAATCATGACCTGTAGAAAATGACTCAAGTTTTGTTCTACATCTCCTATAACCCAACGATTAGGGACTCCAGTGGGATAATACGATAAATAATAGACTGAAAGGAGCATCTACATCAGTCTCCAGTCTGTGACAGTGGCCAGTAGTAGGTGCTTAGAGGAGGGCAAAAGAACAGAGCAAGCACTTGGTGATGCTTTCCTGTTGTGCTCCCCCAGCCTCCAGCAGTCTGTGCTCAGGAAACTCCTACGTGGAGGTGGTGCTTTTGAGCTTTTTTTGGCCTTGTTTGCATGGATTAGATACCTTCTCAGCGCGTGTAGGCCTTCTCATCTGCACAGTCATGTAGCAGTAAGCTCCGCAGTTCAGTTACACGGGGTGTGAATTACTTCTTTTTGTTTGTTTTGAGCCTGACACCTCTAATTTTTATGTGACATCAGCCTTTTGCTTAGCCGTGGTCTGTATACGTGCAATACATCTTTCCAGGTCACAGCTCAAATCCCAGGGATTTGATGTATGGACTGACTGACACCTTACTTATTCTTCATGGTTTAGGGACTATTTAATTTTTCTCAAGTTCTGTAAAATTTTCTTTTAAAAGAACTTTAGTTAGTTAGTTATGTGAAATTGCTTTAAATATGGTTTTTTTTAATTAAGAAAATGTGTTACAGCTTCCAAATGAATGTTTTAGCATTACAGCAACATTTCTAAAACTAGGTATGATGCCTATCAAAGTTCATATTAATAAGGAAATACCTTCCCTTGTGAGCATCTTTAATTGCTGAACTCTTGCAGGAGTTAAAAGAAGACAATCAAGTGTTGCTAGAAACAAAGACAATGTTGGAAGATCAATTAGAGGGGACCCGGGCCCGTTCTGATAAGTTACATGAGTTAGAAAAAGAGAATCTGCAATTAAAAGCTAAATTACACGACATGGAGATGGTAAGTGTACATGGAGATTGACATGCACTGAATTTCATTTCCATTTATAACAGAACTTCCAGTGAAAACGGTGGGGGAGAGGAGAAAGGTTTGTCTCGCTTTACTAACGCTTTTCAGACACCATTTCCTCAGCAGCTTTGGTTCTGCCTAGGGAAGGAAAAGTTGTGAAGGCAGTACTCTTCGTAAAGTGTTGGATCCGACAGCTAAAATAGGACGATAAGAAATAGAGAGGCTCATTAGTAAGAAGGATATGATCAATTTTCTTAATGTGAAGATAGTCTAGTGTCACTTAATACTTAACGAAAAGAGATGATTCAGATTTCTGGCAATATAGTGATATATTGTTAAGGTTAACCAGAGTAGTTTCCGCTTTTAACCCGTTCTCATCCAAAAATTAAATGGTCTAAAATACAAAGTCCTAATTATGTGGTTGGGGCTGGTTTTTTAGTTTTTCTTAAAGACTGACCTTCTGTTTCCTTTCCTTTTCTGCAAAATGTTGAGAGTTACAGCTGCAACTTACTCCTAATAAGAGAGCATGTGTGGGGAGGGGGGTTTATAAAGAGCTGGGTGAGACGCACTCGTCACGGGCCCAGTCCTGTCACAGCGTTTTGCATCAAAGTAGCCTTAGGATAGTTTAGGGAAGATGAAATTTTGCTTCTCTGTCCATTTGGCTTTTGTGTATCCTACCAACCTGTGCTTATGTGTACTGTGTCCTGATTTTCTGAGAACTGAACTTTGGAAAAGAGTAACTAGTCATTGCCCTAAGTTGCGATGAGAAGAGGTTCTTCTCTGTGTGTTTTTCTTTTCTGGTTTTTACCCTTCTCTTTGAAGTTCTCCATAATTTTGTCTGTTTCTCCCTGTCTCACTGTGTATCATCAAATCAGAAGATGCACTTTGCGTTTCTCTGTGGCGTAACAGATTCTAAAATACTTTGTACACGTTGAGACATATTTGTTTTAAAGTTCTTTGTGAAATAATTTTTAAGGAGCGTGATATGGACAGAAAGAAGATTGAGGAACTCATGGAGGAAAATATGACTCTAGAAATGGCTCAGAAACAAAGTATGGATGAATCATTGCATCTTGGCTGGGAACTGGAACAGATAAATAGGACTACTGAACTTTCTGAAGGTAAACATAGTAGTTAATACGTGAAAACTGATAAAATAGGAAAATTGCAAGCTCAGATGCTAGACAGGATTGGGACATTACAGCCCCTCACTTCTAAAGGGTCTTTCATCCTCTGGAGAGATGACAGTTTTGGGCTATTTTTCTGTTTAAAAAAACCCCAGAAAACGTTTAAAGTCTATTCTTGAGATTCTTGTTCACTTAACCACAGGTGTAAACCCCAAAAATACCTTGGAGTTACATTTTGTTACATATCATGGAATCATTTAGGTTGGAAAAGACTTTTAATAACAAGTCCAACCATCAACATAACACTGCCAAGCCCACCACTAAACCATGTCCCTAAGCACCACGTCTGTACAACTGTTAAACACCTCCCAGGATGGTGAGTCAACCCCTTCCCTGGGCAGCACATTCCAATGCCTGACAGCCCTTTCCGTGAAGAAATTGTTCCTAATACCCAATCTGAACCTCCTCTGGCACAACTTGAGGCTGTTCTTACCTCTTGTCCCACCGTTTGTCCCTTGTGAGAAGAAACTGACCTCCCCCCCTCTGCACCCTCCTGTCGGGGAGTTGTAGAGAGCCATAAGGTTCCCCCTGAGCCCTCCTCTTCTCCAGGCTGAACCCCCCCAGCTCCCTCAGCTGCTCCTCACAGGACTTGTGCTCCAGACCCTTCCCCAGCTCTGTTCCCTTCTCCGGACACGCTCCAGCCCCTCAGTGTCTTTCTTGCAGCGAGGGGCCCAAACTGACCCAAAGATTCAAGGTGCGGCCTCACCTTTGCTCAGTACAGGGGGATGATCCCTGCCCTGGTCCTGCTGGCCACACTGTTCCTGATAACAGGCCAGGATGCCGTTGGCCTTCTTGGCCACCCGGGCAGACATCGGCTCATATTCAGCTGGCAGTTGACCAACACCCCCAGGTCCTTTCCTGTCACACAGCTTTCCGGCCCCTCATCCTGCAGCCTGGAGCGTTGCAGGGGGTTGTTGTGGCCCAAGTGCAGGACCCAGCACTTGGCCTTGTTGAACCTCATACATGGATCCAGCCTGTCCAGATCCCTCTGCAGAGCCATCCTGCCCTCAGGCAGATGAACCCAGCGCCCATTATTGACATTCAGACTTCTGTGCTTTGTAGCACAGACCATGAGTTGCCTTGCTTTCCTGTTCTCAGAGTTAAAAAATATTTGTTAAGGCTTCTCAGAGTTTTTCTCAGTGTTTGCAGGGATCACTGTGGCAAAACGAGTGATTCCTCCAATATAGTGTGCGTGGTCATATACTGGATCCCGTAGAAAGGATTCGTGGATATTTAGAGATACATCCTCAGTTGCAGGAAGCAAATCTCTGCTGTGATTAGGAAATGTAAGATGAACAGAATTTTTCCTTTTATGCATCTGCTGTGCTATCTGTTGGGTAAGGAGGATGGGTCGTTACTCCTAACCAGCTCTACTCACCAAGAAGGCATTGGAGGACCATAAAAGTCTTCTAAACCCTAGTCCAAACATGCAAAGTCCAGGAACTCCAGGTATCAAGTAATCTTCTTTGTTAATGGTGATTTTTTCCATACAGTGCCACAGAAATCACTTGGTCATGAAGTAAATGAACTGACATCGAGTAGATTACTGAAGTTGGAAATGGAAAACCAAAGTTTGCTGAAGACAGTCGAAGAACTACAAAGTGCAGTGGGCTCTGTAGAAGGCAGTAGTTCGAGGATTCTAAAAATGGAAAAAGAAAACCAAAGACTTAGCAAAAAGGTAAGCGTGGGTGTCTGTCTGAATCGTGTATGAGTTGCCTGAATTTGCTTGCCGTTTTCTTTCTAAAGGGTAATTTTATGAATTGCTGTTATTTTGGGTGAAGTATTACCAGGGTCAGAATGATTTTGTGCTGTTTGGAAGTTTATGGTGAAAAAGAAAACTACCTCAAAGGTTTTTCTCATTTTTATTGATGTAAGAATGTGACCGTTTTGCACACAAAGGTCTGGTGAGGGAAACAAAAATTTTAACATGGTGGGGACATAATGAGTAACGGAAGTGTTGTATGATACTTGAGCACATCATTTTAATTCTGGTAATTTTTAAGCAGGGGAAGGCTTGAGTGCACAGGTGAGGGCTGGTAAGCAGAAAATTTGGTCATGTGTCCTCTTTCGTAACTGAGAAAGAGAGAAGGTGGGCGCAGGAATTGATGAGCAAGAGAATGAGAGGAGTTTGTCAGATTTCTCTGTGCTGATCTACCATATTTTACCCTCCAAGTTATGTGTATCAAATGGAGTAATTTAGTCAGTGATGTTTATAGAGAGTAAAAATTGGATAATACCGGGGACTAATTAGAGTGGATTGAAACGTCTGTAGTTTCTGATACAGCTTTTACTTCAGCAGAGATTTCAGATGTCGGGCCATTCTTAGAGAAGAATAGGTAAGAGAGAATTTAAAAAACAAATGGCAAGAAATCCCCACTGTATTCCATACTTCCATGCTTCTGATTTTTTAATAGTCTGGTGTTTTTTGCAGCAGCCCGTGTGCTGCTTTGAGTTTCTGTGCAGTAGCAGAAGGACAGCTCGGAGGGTACAAAAGAAAGGAAGAGGTGTAAGAAGCAAGCCGTAGGCAGGTCCTTGTGGTTGTCTGATACTGTCCTGACCCCTTTGGATGTCTGGCGACTTGTCCCTTTTCGCACTTGCCCCTAACACCGATGTCGTGAACAGTGATCACTTCAGCACAAAGCGCCCCGTTGAACAAAGCATCTGTTGCGAATGCGGCATGCGTAGTCTGCTTCTGTCTGGACACGCTTTCTCTGAAAACAAACGGCTAACACAGGGTGGTATAAACAGGAGACCCAGTGACCGCAGGAACTCCCCGCCCAGCCCCCAGTTGGGCAGGCGATGGCTAAGTTCGGTTCCAGCTGACTGCATCCCTGCTGGGTGATTGAACCTCTGGCTTCTCCTGTGCAAAAACCAGTGGATTTGCCAATATTCCTGTGAAACGTGCATTGGTCGGGTAAGCAAGGGGCCAGGAAAATCTGAATTTCAGACAAACAGGGAGAGAGAAGCAAAAGACTGGTCAAAAATGAGTGTTCTCATCCTAAGAGAAAGATTTAATTCAGGTTCTGGCCTAATTGGCACTGTGCTTTTTCTGTATTTTGGATCAACAAATTCCATTCTACTGCCTTTTTGTGATTTTATTCCTCAGTGTTAGCGTATGATTCAGGTGATCTGTTTCTAAAGTATTCTCCCTGCCTGGGGTCCAGGTTGTGTCTGGACGACTCTGGGGTTGGGTAATGTGGCCAGCAGACTTGACATAAAATATAAACCTTCCAACAGATGATTCTTTCAAAATACAATGTGTATTTTCCTTCTAAGGAGCTAATTATAACTTACATGTGACAGAAAAATCACACTTGGCTATTTTCACTCGGAAAGTTTTGCTGTCTGGCAACATCACAAGGTGAAACTTTGACAAAAAAACCCTGTGTATTTAACAACCAAGGAATCATCCTAAGTATCTCCTGAAACAGTTAAGTAAGAACAAACAACCTTCAGTCTTGTAAGTTAAAAGGGGCTTGGAGGAGCGGTATAATCTCAAAAAAATGGAATTTTAAGAGGAAAAAAAACATGTTTGGGGAAATATCCAGAACTAATAAAATCTGACCCTCTTTTTACGCAAAAGTACTTTACAGATACAATCATCTGAGCCGGAGAAAATTCTGGCTGAGGTAAATTTATTCCTAAAAGAGATTAATTGTTTCAGATAAAGAGTAGAAAATTCCTTTATAGTCTTTCCTTTAACCTTCTTTATTCATTTCTGTAAGGGTACCTTCAACCCAGCTAAGGGTAATACTGTTGTTGGTTTTAAGTACGTTTAAAAAACATGTTTCTTTTTCCATAGCTTGAAGAGCTAGAGAAGGAAATTAGCCAAGAGAAACAAAGTCTTCAGAACAGTCAAAATCTGAGTAAAGATTTGATGAAAGAAAAGGCGCAGCTTGAAAAGGCGCTTGAAATGCTGCGAGAAAACTCAGAGCGACAAGTGAGTAGCAGAATCAAAAGTCTTACTGCGGCACTGTACCGTACTGTCCCACTTCTGTACTCCTTTATGAGTATAAAGGCATTGGAAATGTAGCAGATTTGCCAAAAGGACCTATCTGCAGCAAATTGGCTTGTCTGAGACTTGGAGCCGGTGGGAGCCGGGACTCATTTTTAGCTGAGGCTTTGCCATTAGTTTTAGAACTTTTCAGTGTTCTGTAACGCTTTTGTGGCTTTCGTGGGCTGTGCGTTTGCTGTAGCTGCTTAGAGGGCGTAGCTCGGCCGAAACGGAAAGCTGGGAACTTGGGAGGTAAGCCAGACGCCTCTCACGGAGGAAAAGCAGGTTCCAGACTGCGGGTCAGTGTTTGAAGGGGTGTCAGAGCGTTAATGAGAACTGCAGCAGCCTCTCTCTCAAAGGGACTCAACAGACCAGTGAGGCTGGGCTGCTGCTCCGCTGGCTCCGCTCCTCCTGTGTCGCTCAGTCTTGTTTATCTGGAGTCGGAGCCATCACATCCAGAGTACTCCTCGATACTGGAATGTTTTCTAGCTGTGACTTGGGGGTAGATTGCAGAACTCCTTCTTGTCTGCCAGAAACTGGCATCTGGGTCTTTGTAAAAGATTCTGAGCTGTGTTTGGGAGGGTACTGACTGTCACTGATGTATCTCACGGGTGCTGACACCTTCTGAAGGTCTTTGCAGAGCCTGTGGAAATGTCTTTTGGAGGCCTGTGGAAAGCAGGCACTAGGAAACGAGAGTTCTGGAAATCGTATCTTTAGTAATCAAGTCCTTCAGAATTAGAACTGTACTTGCCTTCTGTAAATTTCACTCACTTTTTGATGAGACTGACATTTTTTAGATTGATTTAACAGTGCAGTGTGTTGGGGTATTGTATTTTAAAAATCCTGACAATTTTTAAAGGCTCCATTTAAGAAGTAAATTAAATTCCAGACTTAGAAAAAAGGCGGAGGGGGAGGGGGGAGCTTGGAATTGAAGCTTTACTTTCATTTAAAGAGAACAGTGGGGATAATTTTAAAGAAAATAAGCCATCTTGTCTTGTTCAGAGGCATTCGTTGTTACAGTAATTGATTTGTGCATTGAATAAGAAGTGTACTCTAGGGAAAAAAGGATTAAAGCTTTCTGGAACAAGTCGTAAGACAAATTCAACCATCAGGGAAGTGGATCTTGTTCTAAATGTGTTGGTGTAGTCCCACTGCAATGTCAGTTCTACTTCCACTTAAAAACAATGTCCTTGGGAGCTGTGATGGGTTAGCAGCATCTTTCATGTCTTTTACGAATCCTGTGCTGAAGTGAAACTTGGTGGAGTCGACTCTACAAGGTTTGCAGGATTCCATCGAAAATGGTGGGTGGAGGCATTGATCATGATTTTTTGGATTCAGTGTGGATTATAGAAGCAGAATTCACAGGAAGTAATGAAGCGTGTTCAGTAACATACCAGGTTCTGTACAGAAGCGTTACAAAGTTGTGGGTTTAGACACCTGTTAATTAGTTTCTCATGAATAGTTTCAGAACAGTTTGTCATTGCTGGGAACGGAGCTGTAGATCCTGTAATTAATAGCCATGTTCAGACTCAAATCTGAAAGAAGTCTGTAATTTTCTCATTGTAACTAGCCCTTTTGCATTTCTCCAAAGCAGTTTATTGCTGAAACATCCCTTCTGCCATGTTGTTAGTGTATTCTTAAATATTGATCTGGACGGGTTTCTGAATTTTTCTATCTGTTGGTAATAACTTCAAATAATTCTGAGTAACTGAAAAAGTCGAGAAATACTAAAACTTCAAATGTAAATGCTGCCTTTATCCTTGAAGTGGGTCAGGGAATATGTTACCTAAGAAAATAATTCAGTTCTAAAATTATTTACTTTGGAAGCACTTTTGGAATGGTGTGCCCAAGGGTTCTTTTTAACTCAAAAATCAATGTGACTGATGTGTTTCTTCCCCAAATCCTACTGATTGTGATCAGGATGCCCTCATATCGCCACAGATCACCTCTGATTTTTTTCCAAGTGAGATAAGGACACTTTTGTGGCTGCCACACCTCCCTTCATCTCGAATTTTCTTTGGAACTTGGCTGAGGTTTTGTTCTTTGTGGACACACATCTCTGGAAATTACAGAGTTTAAGGAAAATAACCTAAATCTGGGTAAACACAAATTAAAAAGAAATGAAGCTAAGAAATAGATAGCACTTTGGTTTGGGTTGTGCTTTGTTGGTGTAACATTATGGTGTTATGCTCTTTACAGCTCCCTGAAAGGAGGGTGTTGGGAAGCGGGTGCTGGCCTGTTCTCCTGGGTAACTGCTGACAGGACAAGAGGAAACGGCCTCAAGTTGTGTCGGGAGGGTTTAGGTTAGGAAAAACATCTTTACTGAAAGGGTGGCCAGGCCTTGGAACAGGCTGCACGGGGAAGCGATAGAGTCACCATCCCGGGAGGTGTTCAAGGAACGTGCAGACGTGGGACTTGAAGCCATGGTCTGGGGGGTAGGGTAGTGTTGGGGTGATGGTTGGACTGGATGATCTTACAGGTCTTTTCCAACCTGTGGGATTCTCTGATACATGCAAGTAATTACTTGTTGGCGTGTCACTCACCAGAGTTTACAATTTTTCCCCCCAAAATTAGATTAAGCTATTAGAACAAGAAAATGAACATCTGACTCAAACCGTAGCTTCTCTGAGACAGCGCTCGCAAATCAGCGCTGAAGCGAGAATGAAAGAAATTGAAAAAGAAAATAAAATCCTTCACGAGTCTATTAAAGAGACCAGCAGTAAGTTAAACAAGATTGAATTTGAAAAAAAGCAAATCAGGAAAGAACTGGAACACTACAAAGAGAAAGGGGAGAGAGCAGAAGAACTCGAGAACGAGCTGCATCATCTGGAGAAGGAAAATGAACTGTTACAGAAAAAAATTACTAACTTAAAAATTACTTGTGAGAAGATCGAGGCCTTAGAACAAGAAAACTCAGACCTGGAAGTGGAAAACAGAAAGCTCAAAAAAACTTTGGATAGCCTCAAGAACCTCACTTTTCAGTTAGAATCCTTAGAAAAGGAGAATTCCCAACTTGATGAAGAAAATTTGGAGTTAAGAAGAACAATCGAATCCTTGAAGTGTACAAGCATTAAAGTGGCCCAACTACAATTAGAAAATAAGGAACTGGAGAGTGAAAAGGAGCAACTGAAAAAAAGCCTTGAACTCATGAAAGCCTCATTTAAAAAAACGGAACGCTTGGAAGTCAGCTACCAAGGCCTAGACACAGAAAACCAAAGGCTACAGAAAGCCCTTGAGAACAGCAACAAGAAGATTCAGCAATTAGAAAGTGAATTACAGGATTTAGAGTCGGAAAATCAGGCTCTGCAAAAGAACTTGGAAGAGTTAAAAATCTCCAGTAAGCGCCTGGAGCAGTTGGAAAAGGAGAATAAGTTGTTAGAACAAGAGACTTCTCAACTGGAAAAAGATAAGAAGCAGCTAGAAAAAGAAAACAAAAGGCTTCGACAACAAGCAGAAATTAAAGATAGTACGTTAGAAGAAAACAATGTAAAAATTAGCAACCTGGAAAAAGAAAATAAATCTCTGTTTAAGGAAATTGTTGTGTATAAAGAGTCATGTGTACGCCTGAAAGAACTGGAAAAGGAAAACAAAGAACTCGTGAAAAGAGCGACCATCGATAAGAAAACCCTGGTCACTTTACGAGAGGTAAACAGAAACGTGGTACCTTTCCCATCGTGATCTGTTCAGAGCGTAGAGAAATTACATCTGCATTTTTGAAAAAGGGTTTGTAGGGTTGATGCTTTCACCCTACTGGTGTCTCTGATGGTTTTGCAAGAGCCTGTAGTGATAGGACAAGGGGTAATGGGTACAAATTGAAATCAGGGAGGTTTAGATTAGATATCAGGAAGAAATTCTTCACAGAGAGGGTGGTGAGGCACTGGGACAGGTTGCCCAGAGAAGCTGTGGATGCCCCATCCCTGGAAGTGTCCAAGGCCAGGCTGGATGAGGCTTGGAGCACCCTGGTCTAGTGGAAGGTGTCCCTGCCCATGGCAGGGGGTTGGAACTAGATGGGCTTTAAGGTGCCTTCCAACCCAAACCATGCTATGATTCTATGATTCTATGATAATGAATTGATGTGATCAGAATAATCAAATGGAATAATACACCCATAGGACGCTTCATTCTCCACAGACATTCGTGGAACCTTTGTTCAGTGAACGTTATTCAGAGACTTCCTGTTAGTGTTTGTTCTGGCTAAAATATTTCCCTTTCACCCTCGTGTTTGAGACCCGATTTGCCAGGGGAGTTCTGCAGAAAGGAAGGGAGTAAGCAACGGCAGTGACATCACATCGTGGTGAGAGCATGATGTCCGATACAGCTGAGAGCTGACACCTGAAGGAGAGTTAGCGTTGAGTTCTTCGAGTCGCGAGGGATAACGCACTCTTGCCCCGCCGCTTCTAGAATTAAGACTGTGTGATTTTATTTATATGACAATACTGACTGTGATTTCTTTTTTTCCTGTGGAAGGACTTGGTGAATGAAAAACTGAAGACTCAACAAATGAACAACGATCTAGAAAAACTTGCCCATGAACTTGAAAAAATCGGCTTAAACAAGGAGCGTCTCTTGCATGATGAACAGAGCAGTGACGACAGGTGAGAATGTCGAAGGCCACCCACAACCGTGTCGAAGTGAGGGATAAAGTGGCTTTACAGACTGGTTTTGGGCATACCCATAGATTGTTAAGGCACACTCGTAGACCCAGACCGGAACTGTTATTCTTTGGAATGAGTGAGGTGGTTGATGTGCTTTTACATCCAGCTGTCTGTGAAAGTGAGTCGCCACTTTTTGGTATGAAGAAACTTCTTGAAGTACGCCAGTAGGTACAGTTAATGCGTCATGGAAGCGGTTTGTGTTCTTTTTGCCGCAGGAACAGTAGCAGTAAAAGACAATAGGGCCAAGGTGGATTTTTCCTTTTTGACTGCTTGACTGATAGAAATGGTTTTTAAACTTCAGCCACATAGTGGTTACCTTAAACTGTCTCA